GATTAAAGTTTCCTCGTCAATCCCATCCTCTCAAACCTGCTGTGAAGCCGCTCCTCTGGGTCTCTAATGATCGATGAGCTTGTTTCTGCATCGACACGGATGAGCGGCAGGAATCCGAAGACAATTTAAATTCAGTTAAACTGGACAAGCTGCATGTTTAGTCTCGACTCCCTCCTGAATACAGCAGACTTGAGGAAAAATCAATAGAGGAAATTATACAGCAGAGAAATGAGACTGAAGAAGAGAAGAAGAAGAAAAGGAGGAGGAGGAGAAGAGTTGCTGATTGGAAAACAGAAGGAAAAGGTCACAAAGGACAAAGAGACGGAGGAAAAGAACTCTGCTGAAATCGAATCAATCCCCAGAGTTTAACAAATGAGCTGTGGGTGTGTGCGTGTGTGCGTGTGTGCGTGTGTGCGTGTGTGTGTGTGTGTGTGTGCGTGTGTGTGTGTGCGTGTGTGTGTGTGTTGGCTCGATGCTTCTGCTTCAGACTCTCAGTTTGTTTATGCAGAAATCACAGCTGGCTCTTACCCTTTACACTTTATTCTTCTCGTTTCCTCACACACACACACACACACACACACACACACGCACACACGCACACACAAACCTATTTGTCTTGTATACTTGTGAGGTCAGTCATTCCATGTAAGAACTGTCATCTAATTGAGGTAAAACCCTTAACCTCTCCACATGAAACGTGAACTTTACAGCTGAAGTTCCTCCAGTGTCCACTAGAGTCTGTCTCCTGCAGTGAGTCAGTCCCCATAGAGCCCAATGTTAAAATGTCCAACTTTACAGCTGCAGTTCCTCCAGTGTCCACTAGAGTCTGTCTCCTGCAGTGAGTCAGTCCCCATAGAGCCCAATGTTAAAATGTCCAACTTTACAGCTGCAGTTCCTCCAGTGTCCACTAGAGTCTGTCTCCTGCAGTGAGTCAGTCCCCATAGAGCCCAATGTTAAAATGTCCAACTTTACAGCTGCAGTTCCTCCAGTGTCCAGTAGAGTCTGTCTCCTGCAGTGAGTCAGTCTCCATAGAGCCCAATGTTAAAATGTCCAACTTTACAGCTGCAGTTCCTCCAGTGTCCACTAGAGTCTGTCTCCTGCAGTGAGTCAGTTTCCATAGAGCCCCATGTTAAAATGTCCAACTTTAAAACATGATAGAGATAGCAGACATAGCAGAGCTCTTGGGATGACATAGCATTTTTTACCGTTGCAGTGGACTTATTTATCTCATTATCTCGAGATAGCAGAGCTGGTTGTCTCATTATATCAGAGTAAAACATCTCATTGACTTCCTCCTTGTTAGGATGTATCATACGGTCCTATGGAGCAGCTTTCTGCCCTCTGCTTTTTAGTAGTAAAATAGTTGCACTGAGGACACAGAGGTCTCAAAGAATTATGCATCAAGCATGACTAATTTGGCTGTATATGGTTAACTGAATATGTTCTCTCAAAGATGGTAATATAAGCCCACACACACAGAGAAAGAAAAAAACAGGAGGGTGGAAATGTAATTGCATCACAGGCGTCCTTCTCCTCTGCAGCGATGAAACTGGACTCCTCATGTCGCTGTAACGTGATATTTCAGTGCTGATCTCGTTAACATGTTCAAACAAACCAGGTCACAAACGAACACAGAGAGGAGACGATTACTGATGTCTGATGAGATTATTTATAACATTGTAGGAAACGGGAATATTCAGCAGCAGACACAAATGACTGTCATTATTCATCTACAAATGTGTTTATAAAACTTAATATCTCCCTTTTCCTGCCACAACGGTTCATCCTCTCTTACAGCATCACTGCAGGAAACCATGTGAAGATGGATGGATGGAAAGATGGACGGATGGATGGATGGATGGATGGATGGATGGACGGACGGATGGACGGATGGATGGATGGATGGATGGATGGATGGATGGATGGAAAGATGGATGGATTGAAAGATGGACAGGCGGATGGATGGATGGATGGATGGATGGATGGACGGATGGATGGATGGATGGATGGATGGAAAGATGGATGGATTGAAAGATGGACAGGCGGAAAGATGGACGGATGGATGGATGGATGGATGGATGGATGGACGGACGGATGGACGGATGGATGGATGGATGGATGGATGGATGGATGGATGGAAAGATGGATGGATTGAAAGATGGACAGGCGGATGGATGGATGGATGGATGGATGGATGGACGGATGGATGGATGGATGGATGGATGGATGGATGGATGGATGGACGGACGGATGGACGGATGGATGGATGGAAGGATGGATGATGGATGGATGGATGGATGGATGGACGAATGGATGGAACGATGGATAGATGGATAGATGGATGAATGGATGGAGGGATGGATGGATGGAGGGATGAATGGATGGGGGGATGGACGGATGGATGGATGGATGGACGGATGGACGGATGGACGGATGGACGGATGGATGGATGGAAGGATGGATGATGGATGGATGGATGGATGGACGAATGGATGGAACAATGGAACGATGGATAGATGGATAGATGGATGAATGGATGGAGGGATGGAGGGATGAATGGATGGGGGGATGGACGGATGGATGGAACAATGGATGGATGACCGACAGACTAACAATTTGCTTATGGGGTCAAATGCCTTAACCTCCTTTCTTCCTGGCTAGCTGATATATTATTTGTCAAGTTAAACATTAAGTGTTAACTAGAGGCTGTCTCTGTCAGGCTTGAAACGTGCTTTTAGTCCAGGACGTCAGATGAAGTAAGAACAGAGAGATATAAGATGTGTTGGAGGGAGTAAACAGAAATAAAAGCGCACTCTCTTGTTCTTTAGAAGCGCGCAAAACAGAAAAGACAAACATTTCTTATCAGCTTCAGCATAAAAGAGACAATTTAAATCTTTCTGTGCAGCATGAGAGCTGCAAAAGAATCCATCCGTAGATTATTCAGATGTGACATTTCCTCTAACTGTAGTGGACTTTGTGAAAACACAGATAAATCTCTCCTTTGATAATATGAGCTGTGAATGTGTGACTCTGCTCGCAGATTTTCATGATGCATATTAAACAGTGCTGAACTCTGCCGCTCACCCACTTACTCCTTCTTGTGTTCTGTTTCTATTCCCGTCCAGCAGCTCGCAGTCAAAAAGTCCTACAGGAATCAAATAGGAAAACTCAGACCGACTCAACAGCCCCGATGATACAACCGACATGCAAACACCTGCGGGAGCACACACACTCCATCACACTGACATAATACTGTTATATTCAGCAGCCACTCAGCCGGCTTCAGGCCCATTATCCTGCACGAAGGATGTTCATCCACTCAGCACCCACATGCAGCTCTCTGGCCTCCTCTGAGTTCATGAACCGCTTCAGAAAATAACTTTTCATCATGCACTAAAATGTCAGCATCCAAAAGTCCATCAAACACACAAGTTCCCTCCAAATATCACAGCCTGCATCATCACCTTCATTTACATGTTTCAGAAAACGGAGTGTGAGGATGGGAGCGTCTGGAGACTCGTAGCTGCAGGTGAAACAGGAAGTATCTTTGTGTTTCATTTCTTTAACTTTGGACATTTAAGACCAGCATAGAGGCCGTGCAGCAGTAAGGCTTTTTATCTCCAAATAACAGTGTTTATTTTTCAAATTATACAAAGCAATTTACCGCTCGGCCCTCGATCAACCCTCTCCTGTGGTCATGAGCTATGGGTAGTGACCAGAAGGATAAGATGGGGTATACAAGCGGCCGAGATGAGTTTCCTCTGGAGGGTGTCTGGGCTCATCCTTAGAGAGAGGAGGAGGAGCTCAGACATTCAGAGGAAGCTCATGTAGAGCTGCTACTCCTTCACATCGAGGAGCCAGTTGAAAAGGTTCAGGCATCTGATGAGGATCCTCCATGGACGCCTCCCTTTGGAGGTTTTCTGGGCATACCCAACTGGGAGGAGACACCGGGGTAGACCCAGAGTACGCTGGAGGGATTATATATCTGGTCTGGCCTGGGAACATCTCAGAATCCCCCAGAAGGAGCTGGAAAACATTGCTGTGGTGAGGAACATCTGGGTCAATTTAGTATGCTTGTTTAGGCCTAACATTGCAACCCGACCTTGGATAAGTGGAAGACCATGATGGATGGAAACTGGAGTTATTTATCTCGTTATCTCAAGATAACAACGCTGGTTGTCCCATAATAACAGAGTAATGTATCTCATGCTCTGTTATCTGGAGATAATGACATAAATTACTAATTTTATCAGATTAATTAATCTCATTATCTCGTGGTGTCACACTTTCTTTTCCCATTATGACGTATTTATCGCTCTGTTTCATAGTGGGGTAATTGATGTTGTTTCCTCGTCATTATGGTTTTCTTAATTATAACAGAGCAAAGTACACCAAACTGCCATTGACATTGATTAATAATGTAACGGCTATTTCGTTATTTGTTTTGTGCTTTTGCAGTAAGATAAATGAACCGAGGTGTCAAGAAAATAACCATAAAAAAACTCATCATGACGGGGATATGGAATTAAATTAGATGTTTTGATGAATGTCCCTTCAGGCCTCCGTAGATAACAGCAGATTTCAAACTAGTCTAGTTTCCAAGCCAAATAGCTCAATGTTTAAAAAACTTAAACATCTCTGCATATTATTATCACACTAATTTATATTACCATGAGTGACAGGCTGATGTTTAAACCAAATATTTATATTAAAATATTGGGAAACCAAGAACAAAAAATATCCCAAAAATCCAAAATGTCCAAAATATAAAAAAGTAAAGAATAGAAATAAATATTGGTGAAATTTTATTATTTTTCATTATTTTTGTATATTTAAAAAAAAGATGAAATATATTAAAAATTTAAACCGCAAGCGCTTCGGGCCCTAAATACAGAAAAACAGTTTGACGACCGAGATTACGTCACGAGAACAGGCATACAAAGCTCTCGCGATACTTGCTGGGGTATAAAACCCTCCGCGGCCTCAGCTCGGTCTTTCTTTCTCCCCTTTAGCGGTGAAGGTGCAACAGTTATCGGTCGTCCCGACTCGGGTTCATCCGACACCCTCACCAACCAAGCTGAACTGAGCTCAACCTCCACAGCAGCATCATGCCTCCCAAATTCGACCCCAACGAGATTAAAGTTGGTACGTTTTCACTGAAAAGTGGCTAAAAACTAAAACGCAGACGCCGTCATGGAGGCCTGTGAGCTGAACACGGTAAAGATGGGCACAAGACGCGACGGAGGAAAACAACTTAATCTGCTTTGTTTTAATTTCTGCATGTTTTGTTTTGTTTTATAATCGGGTGGGATTTGATTAATCGATGTCATGTGTGATAAAGGAATTCAGTTATCTGGGCTGACGTCCACGTGGGGGTAGTGTGCTAACTAGCGGCTAATGCTAATGTAGCCTACCCTTAGAATACAGGCGATACGAGCTAGCATATGTTAGCATGTAGGCTAAAGTGAGTGAACTGGTCCGTTCTGTGTCTCAACACTTAAAAAAATGACTGTTGTAGGAAGTTCAAACCCAAAAAACATATTTTTTACTTAAATATTGGTTTGTAGATAACTTTCCACAGTTAAACCTTGAATTTCTGATAAATCTTCATTCTCACTTTAACTTAATGGGAGTGATTTGTTTCTCTCTAGTCTGGTTCCCAAGTATCTGGGACCTGCAGTCACCCACAACTCATGGTGCATGCATGTTGTAGTTTACTGTGTTGCAAGTGAACATTAATTTCAACATCAGTTTTATTGACATGTTTGCTCAGACCATAAAAAGGCAATTTTGTGTTTATTATAAAGAGCTGGGATGAGATCTGTGCTTAAAGTGAGGGTTTTAGGATGTGCATGGTGAGGGTGCACTTGAGATAAATATCAGGAGATGTTCATACAGGGCCGCAGATGTACGATACTGATCTGATATTTATGTCTCATCAAATAGTGTTTAAGGTTGTTGCATTTGTCATTGAAACTGAAAAATATTCCAAAGTAATGTGTCTGAAGTTAATGGTCTCGACTGGAATTTTGACTGACTTATTAAGGAGATTTGTTCTCTTTCTGCTGAAGGTGTTGGATGTTGATGCCATCATGCATAATCCTGTGTGTGTGTGATCAGCTGTCAGTGGGTGTGTGAGTCAATGTGTGAACTAACAGGATGTGTGTCTTTTTGTGTCTCAGTGTACATGAGGTGCACAGGAGGAGAAGTTGGTGCCACCTCCGCTCTGGCCCCCAAAATTGGCCCTCTGGGTCTGGTGAGTTTGTTATATTACATTCTTAGTCTTATTGTCATAGAAACCGAACACAAGCCTCCCGCCACTATACCTGTCTGTCCCTGTGACTGAGTATAATCCAGTGGAGGCTCAGAGTGACCCGGCTTTAGGAAACAGAGCTGCTCACACTCATGGACATCTCTGTGCCGTAAAGATCGGAACAACGACCGAGACGAACGCCGCGTTTAGATTTAAATAAGGACACGTTAAGAGACGAGTCACAGAACAAGTGTTCTTACAGCAGTTTGCCTTTGTTCATCTGTAGGATCTTTAGACCGCCTTTAAATTTGAAAGAGATGCTGGTGTGATTTTAGTGTTGTTGTTTCTGACCTTGACCTTTTCTTCTCTTATTAGTCTCCCAAGAAAGTTGGTGATGACATCGCCAAGGCCACCGGGGACTGGAAGGGTCTGAGGATCACCGTGAAGCTGACCATCCAGAACAGACAGGCGGCGGTGCGTATGATGACCTCGCGCGTTAACGCCTCTCTGCTCACAGCAGTCTGTGAAGGCATGGAGGATAACCTGATGTCCTTTTCTTGTGTTTTCAGATCGAGGTCGTTCCCTCAGCATCCGCTCTGATCATCAAAGCTCTGAAGGAGCCTCCTCGTGACCGCAAGAAGGTCAAGAACAGTGAGTTTGAACATGGCCGTGCTCAAACTACTTGGTTCAAGTCAACATAAAGTGCATTCTCTTACATTCTTCTCTTTTTCAGTCAAGCACAGCGGCAGTGTGACCCTTGACGAGATCATCGCCGTTGCTCGCGTCATGAGGCCTCGCTCCATCGCCAGGGAACTCTCCGGTGAGTTTTAAAACTGAACACTGAGATTCATTATCTTCTACCCATGTCTGAACTGCACAAATAACCTTGCCAACATTTCGGTACAGGCACAAAATGCAAATGACCTGAGAACTGAAATGTTTTAGAGTCATGTGTTAATTCACTGCCATGCCCACACCGCCAGAATACAATCAACCCCCACGCCAGGCCAGTAGTTGGTGGTGGGACTTTGTAATAAAACACCATGTGCATTTAGAACTCGCCCTCCTGCAGAGCGTTGTGGTGGGGTTCTTTCCCGGAGTGACAGAACGCTGCGTTGGTCATTGTTTTTGTAGTCCATCTACCCGCTCATGGCTACTGATCTGTGTGCTTCACACACTCGCGCCTCCTGTTTGAATAGAACTAGACAGACGTTTTGTGTAACAAGCCTCCCGCCACTATACCTGTCTGTCCCTGTGACTGAGTATAATCCAGTGGAGGCTCAGAGTGACCCGGCTTTAGGAAACAGAGCTGCTCAAACTCATGGACATCTCTGTGCCGTAAAGATCGGAACAACGTCCACAGCCTTAACACCTCTTAAATCCAGACCTGAATAAAACCGCCTCCTTGTATCATCCTGACCATCTGTGTTCTTTCTTTCTCAATCAGGAACCATCAAGGAGATCCTGGGGACCGCTCAGTCTGTCGGCTGCACCATCGATGGTCGCCCTCCTCATGATGTCATCGATGACATCAACAGCGGCAAAGTGGAGTGTCCCACTGAGTAACTGGACCAGACTTTGAATAAAAAGTTGAGAAAAAGAGCAGCTTGTGTTTGTCCTGTTTCCTATACTGTAGTATACTTGAAGTGGTGATCAGATGGTGACTGAAACCCCAGGGTGGTTTATTGTCAAGTACATTTACACATACAAGGAATTTGTAGTCAATTTATTTTGTATAGCATCAACTCGTAACAAGTGTTATCTCAAGATACTTTACAAAAAGCAGGCAAAATACCGTACTTATTGCTATATTACAAAGACCCAGCCTATCCATCATGAGTACTTCATTGGTGCTAAACAAGACTCAAACTGACCATGAGGTTAAGAGTGAAGGCTGAGTTATGTGTAAAATGTCCTGCAAAATAAATAGCTCCCAATGAGAAATGTTTGAATCCTCATCTGGTTTAATAACCTCAATGTGGGTTTTCTAGACCATCAGATGTTTGGCAGAGTGAGACTGCAGTCAGCTGTACTGAGGTCAAACAGGGTCACCATGTCTTTTGAATACTCTTATTTACATTTCTGGCAGGTATCCTTTACGACTGAGTATTAGGGCTACTAAAGTTGATATTTAGTGTGAAATTTGTAAATCAACTTGAATGAGGCTGTTAGAAATTAATATTCTGAAAGCTATCATAAGAGTGCCATTACCCAAATGATGGAAGGAGAACCCTTAAAGAGTACTTCCTGTGTCAGTGTTCTTCATCTCCAGGTTTCTTTCCTGGTTGTGTAATGACTAATGTGTTATGAATTTATATAAACTACAACAATAAGCTAAGACTAGTTAGTGCAAAACTGTTAATCTTTGCACTTTGATGTCCCAATCCTCCTCTTCTCCTGTCTTCTGTGGATCAGTTCCAAGCTCACATTAAAGAGGACATATCCCCCCTTCTCCATCTTTTCATACAGTACCCCTGTGGTCTAAATGAAACATCCGTGCTGTGCTTTGGTCCAAATATAACATGAATCAAGCACCAGAGGAGGTTTGTGACCCTGTATAAACCAGCTCTCTCAGAACGCTCCGTTTTGGTGTCTCTTTAAATTCAATGAAGAAACCCAGATCACTCCAGCTCACCACTGGATTGCCACAACCAAGACCCTGACACACCAAGCAGACAGCAAAGAGGTGTCGCCTCACGTCTTGGCCAAAAAGTTGCACTTGAACACACCACAAAGACTACAGCCGACGGCCAATCACCACGTACGTTCTGCTCACGAGGAGGAACTAACTCTCCATGCCAGCAGGGGGCGGTAGTCTGTTATGATATGAGAAGACCGTTTTCACACTGCTGTCGGTCACCACTCGTATTATAAGTCGCCTTCTAATGGAGAATAATGTCTGATAAAAAGTTGAAAATGGCGCTGGCGTTGTCAGTCCTTGGTGTTTTAGTGGGAAAAGAAGAAGCGGAGGAGACAAATAAGGAGAAACCACACTAAAGGGTGAAAGCATGGATACTACAGCGGCATGCTCAAGAGGCTTTCCTGAACCTGTGTTGAGATGGAGATAAATGAAACATCCCAACAGCCAGAGAGGTTCCTCTCACCGACCGCCGATGCCGATTCCCCATGTTGAATCGCCCCAAAAAATGCTGACTGGTAGCGACGGACCCGGACACACTGCAAAAACTAGGACCGACCGCTGATGATCTCCTTGGTGTGTCAGGGCCTCAAAGGTTAGAGGTTATGCTGATGGCCCGCTGAGTGTGTGTGTTCTTTGAAGTCAGTTAGGACTCGATGCAGTAAAAACCTTTTTATACAAAATATTTATTGAAAATCTCAAACATCAAAAAACGTTTCTACAAAAGTATAAATGGTTCCACAACGAGCCGCCACATATTATTATAAACTCACTAAACCGCTCTAGATTCTGTCGGAGCGTTAGAACTCAAACTGGATCCAAATTCAAGCTGAGACTGTGAAGGAAAGACCTGCAGGGGAGGGATGTACTGCGGTTCAACATCATCACAAGTCCCAGGCAGCGACTATCAGAGTTCTTTCTTCTTCTTTGAATCACTGGAAGCTGCAGGAGGTCGTCTGCAGCTCCGTGTGATAGAAACAAGAAGAGACACTGTGTTGGGACTCTAACCTGCTAACACGTTTTGTGTTCTGACGCCCTCTAGTGGAGAACTGAAGAATCAGATTATTTACCTAAAATCAGTCGGTGAGTTTGTTTTACTGTCTGTGTGAAGGTGAAGCAGTAATATAAAAAAAGACGACATATAGAAACGAAGAGGAAGAGCTGATGCCGTTTGACTTTGTGCTTTTGTTTGTTGGAAGACCGCAGCTGCAGCGCCGCCATCCGAGTCCCCTCTCCTCCGATGAGCTCATCATCCACGGACTGATCCACTGCAGCTCTATGTTGACCCAGCAGAACCTGAACGCATCACGCCCAGCCGGCGATGACCTCATAAGTTGATCGATCATCAGTTCTCCACTTCCTCCTCGTCCTCCTCCTCCGCCTCGTTCTCCGCTTCAGGCTCCTCCTCCATGCGTTCCTCCTCCTCCTCCTCTTCCTCCTCCCGACTCTTGTCGTTCTCCGAGTCGTTCTTCTTCTCTTTATCTTTTCGTTTCTGCTCCGACACTTCCTTCTTTCCCTTCTGGCCCTTCTTGTAAACTGTAGAAGAGAAACGTTCAATTTGAGATCATCAGAAACTTGAACACACCGGCCATATTTTCATCATTTACAACCTTTAGGTCAATTTTCAGGTCAAATATTTGGAGGTTAACACCGCATCCTAACAGCATGGTACACTGCCTGTCCACACTGCATCCATCTGATCTGTGAATTTCAGTTTCACTTGTTAACATATGGTGCTTTTATTTTGAAGATGGACAAACTGAAGTGTGGTGCTTTTATTTTGAAGATGGACAAACTGAAGTGTGGTGCTTTTATTTTGAAGATGGACAAACTGAAGTGTGGTGCTTTCATTTTGAAAGTGGACAAACTGAAGTGTGGTGCTTTTATTCTGAAGGTGGACAAACTGAAGTGTGGTGCTTTTATTTTGTAGATGGACAAACTGAAGTGTGGTGCTTTTATTTTGAAGATGGACAAACTGAAGTGAGGTGCTTTTATTTTGAAGACGGACAAACTGAAGTGAAGTGCTTTTATTTTGAAGATGGACAAACTGAAGTGAGGTGCTTTTATTTTGAAGACGGACAAACTGAAGTGTGGTGCTTTTATTTTAAAGACGGACAAACTGAAGTGTGGTGCTTTTATTTTGAAGGTGGACAAACTGAAGAGTGGTACTTTTATTTTGAAGGTGGACAAACTGAAGTGTGGTGCTTTTATTTTGTAGGTGGACTAACTGAAGTGTGGTGCTTTTATTTTGTAGGTGGACTAACTGAAGAGTGGTGCTTTTATTTTGAAGGTGGGCAAACTGAAGTGCGGGGCCTTGTAGTGACATAGAAGGCGACGTGAGATGAACTTTGCCTGTGTCCTGCTCTCTGAGGATCACCAGTTCAGATAAATCAAAGTGGCGTACTGACCCTCCAGAGCTTCTCTGAGCGGCTCCAGGAAACGTTCAAACTCCATCTCCTCCATCGCAGCCAGGACGTCTCCTGCGTTCAGAGTTTTCCTCTTCGCTTTCATGGCAAAGTTATTTGCACTGTGACGACACAGAATAATCAGATGTCAGATTCCGGTGCTGTGTGTTCTCTGTGTCTGAAATGTGTGAACTCAAAAATAAACTTTGAACAAACAGAGTTTTATGAATAAAAATGGAGACAAAGTGTCTCTTGCTTCTTACCAGGATGTGGCGTACAGCACAAACACACTGGCAGCTTGTGAGATGGCTCTGCGCGCTTCTTTGGACACGTTCACCCCATCTGGGAGCTGAGAGGAAAAACAAACGGTGCGGAGGAGTTAATGTCGGCGCTGCAGAGAGGAAGCGTTTCATCATCAGGACACAGACCAGATTTATTCATTTACTCTTAAAGATGACAACAGGAAGACGCTTTTAAATGTTTGTTCTACTTCATTTAAAGGTCTTTGAAGGATTTCTGTAAAATCCACTTCACCATGTTTCTCTAACACTAACACGTATCTCTACTTTGTCTACAGTCCATCCTCTCTGTCTTCTGCCTGCTCCACTTTTCAGAAAATGTGTGCTCAAACAGGCCGTTTGGAGATTGTCCCTTCATGACATCACAAAGGGCAGTAACCCCTCCCCCAGGTGGGTGACACTCCCACAGCTAGGTGTTTGTTCTGCCATCTGCGTCTGCCTTCTCACCGTAAACAATAGGACATGGAGCGAGAAAGCCCGAGACACCCAAGCCCTTCCAGAGAGGGGGGCGTGGTCAGACACAGCTCATTTACATATTTAAAGGTACAGACACAGAAACAGCCTGTTCTGAGCAGGGCTGAAATAGAGGGGTTTGTAGACACACATGTTTTGAGGAGCCCCATAGACTTATTTACACCGAAGAGGAGGAGAATATGTGACCTTTAACAATAAAGTCTTTCCTAAAAGTTTTCAAAGTTGTGGCGACAGTATCTCTGTCTGTAAGGACTTAGATTGAGAACCAGAGAGTCGATCCAAAATATGGAAGTTAGTCTTGTTGCTGGAGAGGGGTCAGGTCACTCCGGAGTTCAATCAATCAATCAATCAATCAATTTTTATTTGTATAACGTCAACTCATAACAAGTGTTATCTCGAGACACTTTACAAAAAACAGGTAAAAAGATCTTACTCATTGTTATGTTACAAAAAGCAGGTAAAAGACCTTACTCATTGTTATGTTACAAAAAGCAGGTAAAAGACCTTACTTATTGTTATATTACAAAAAGCAGGTAAAAGACTTTACTTATTGTTATATTACAAAAAGCAGGTAAAAGACCTTACTTATTGTTATATTACAAAAGAGCAGGTAAAAGACCTTACTTATTGTTATATTACAAAAAGCAGGTAAAAGACCTTACTTATTGTTATTTACAAAAAGCAGGTAAAAGACTTACTTATTGTTATGTTACAAAAAGCAGGTAAAAGACCTTACTCATTGTTATGTTACAAAAAGCAGGTAAAAGACCTTACTCATTGTTATGTTACAAAAAGCAGGTAAAAGACCTTACTCATTGTTATGTTACAAAAAGCAGGTAAAAGACCTTACTTATTGTTATGTTACAAAAAGCAGGTAAAAGACCTTACTTATTGTTATATTACAAAAAGCAGGTAAAAGACCTTACTTATTGTTATGTTACAAAAAGCAGGTAAAAGACCTTACTCATTGTTATGTTACAAAAAGCAGGTAAAAGACCTTACTTATTGTTATATTACAAAAAGCAGGTAAAAGACCTTACTATTGTTATATTACAAAAAGCAGGTAAAAGACCTTACTTATTGTTATGTTACAAAAAGCAGGTAAAAGACCTTACTTATTGTTATGTTACAAAAAGCAGGTAAAAGACCTTACTTATTGTTATGTTACAAAAAGCAGGTAAAAGACCTTACTTATTGTTATGTTACAAAAAGCAGGTAAAAGACCTTACTTATTGTTATGTTACAAAAAGCAGGTAAAAGACCTTACTCATTGTTATGTTACAAAAAGCAGGTAAAAGACCTTACTTATTGTTATGTTACAAAAAGCAGGTAAAAGACCTTACTTATTGTTATGTTACAAAAAGCAGGTAAAAGACCTTACTTATTGTTATATTACAAAAAGCAGGTAAAAGACCTTACTTATTGTTATGTTACAAAAAGCAGGTAAAAGACCTTACTTATTGTTATGTTACAAAAAGCAGGTAAAAGACCTTACTTATTGTTATGTTACAAAAAGCAGGTAAAAGACCTTACTTATTGTTATGTTACAAAAAGCAGGTAAAAGACCTTACTTATTGTTATGTTACAAAAAGCAGGTAAAAGACCTTACTTATTGTTATATTACAAAAAGCAGGTAAAAGACCTTACTTATTGTTATATTACAAAAAGCAGGTAAAAGACCTTACTCATTGTTATGTTACAAAAAGCAGGTAAAGACCTTACTTATTGTTATATTACAAAAAGCAGGTAAAAGACCTTACTTATTGTTATTTACAAAAAGCAGGTAAAAGACCTTACTTATTGTTATGTTACAAAAAGCAGGTAAAGACCTTACTTATTGTTATGTTACAAAAGAGCAGGTAAAAGACCTTACTTATTGTTATGTTACAAAAAGCAGGTAAAGACCTTACTTATTGTTATATTACAAAAAGCAGGTAAAGACCTTACTATTGTTATGTTACAAAAAGCAGGTAAAAGACCTTACTTATTGTTATATTACAAAAAGCAGGTAAAAGACCTTACTTATTGTTATATTACAAAAAGCAGGTAAAAGACCTTACTTATTGTTATATTACAAAAAGCAGGTAAAAGACCTTACTTATTGTTATGTTACAAAAAGCAGGTAAAAGACCTTACTTATTGTTATATTACAAAAAGCAGGTAAAAGACCTTACTCATTGTTATATTACAAAAAGCAGGTAAAAGACCTTACTCATTGTTATGTTACAAAAAGCAGGTAAAAGACCTTACTTATTGTTATATTACAAAAAGCAGGTAAAAGACCTTACTCATTGTTATATTACAAAAAGCAGGTAAAAGACCTTACTCATTGTTATGTTACAAAAAGCAGGTAAAAGACCTTACTCATTGTTATGTTACAAAAAGCAGGTAAAAGACCTTACTCATTGTTATGTTACAAAAAGCAGGTAAAAGACCTTACTCATTGTTATGTTACAAAAAGCAGGTAAAAGACCTTACTCATTGTTATATTACAAAAAGCAGGTAAAAGACCTTACTCATTGTTATGTTACAAAAAGCAGGTAAAAGACCTTACTTATTGTTATGTTACAAAAAGCAGGTAAAAGACCTTACTTATTGTTATGTTACAAAAGAGCAGGTAAAAGACCTTACTTATTGTTATATTACAAAAAGCAGGTAAAAGACCTTACTTATTGTTATATTACAAAAAGCAGGTAAAAGACCTTACTCATTGTTATGTTACAAAAAGCAGGTAAAAGACCTTACTTATTGTTATATTACAAAAAGCAGGTAAAAGACCTTACTTATTGTTATATTACAAAAGAGCAGGTAAAAGACCTTACTTATTGTTATATTACAAAAGAGCAGGTAAAAGACCTTACTTATTGTTATATTACAAAAGAGCAGGTAAAAGACCTTACTTATTGTTATATTACAAAAGAGCAGGTAAAAGACCTTACTTATTGTTATATTACAAAAAGCAGGTAAAAGACCTTACTCATTGTTATATTACAAAAAGCAGGTAAAAGACCTTACTTATTGTTATGTTACAAAAAGCAGGTAAAAGACCTTACTTATTGTTATATTACAAAAGAGCAGGTAAAAGACCTTACTTATTGTTATATTACAAAAGAGCAGGTAAAAGACCTTACTTATTGTTATATTACAAAAAGCAGGTAAAAGACCTTACTTATTGTTATATTACAAAAGCAGGTAAAAGACCTTACTCATTGTTATGTTACAAAAAGCAGGTAAAAGACCTTACTTATTGTTATGTTACAAAAAGCAGGTAAAAGACCTTACTTATTGTTATATTACAAAAAGCAGGTAAAAGACCTTACTCATTGTTATATTACAAAAAGCAGGTAAAAGACCTTACTCATTGTTATGTTACAAAAAGCAGGTAAAAGACCTTACTCATTGTTATGTTACAAAAAGCAGGTAAAAGACCTTACTTATTGTTATATTACAAAAAGCAGGTAAAAGACCTTACTTATTGTTATATTACAAAAAGCAGGTAAAAGACCTTACTCATTGTTATTACAAAAAGCAGGTAAAAGACCTTACTCATTGTTATGTTACAAAAAGCAGGTAAAAGACCTTACTCATTGTTATGTTACAAAAAGCAGGTAAAAGACCTTACTCATTGTTATGTTACAAAAAGCAGGTAAAAGACCTTACTCATTGTTATGTTACAAAAAGCAGGTAAAAGACCTTACTCATTGTTATGTTACAAAAAGCAGGTAAAAGACCTTACTCATTGTTATGTTACAAAAAGCAGGTAAAAGACCTTACTATTGTTATGTTACAAAAAGCAGGTAAAAGACCTTACTTATTGTTATGTTACAAAAAGCAGGTAAAAGACCTTACTTATTGTTATGTTACAAAAAGCAGGTAAAAGACCTTACTCATTGTTATGTTACAAAAAGCAGGTAAAAGACCTTACTCATTGTTATGTTACAAAAAGCAGGTAAAAGACCTTACTCATTGTTATGTTACAAAAAGCAGGTAAAAGACCTTACTCATTGTTATATTACAAAAAGCAGGTAAAAGACCTTACTCATTGTTATATTACAAAAAGCAGGTAAAAGACCTTACTCATTGTTATTTACAAAAAGCAGGTAAAAGACCTTACTCATTGTTATGTTACAAAAAGCAGGTAAAAGACCTTACTCATTGTTATGTTACAAAAAGCAGGTAAAAGACCTTACTCATTGTTATGTTACAAAAAGCAGGTAAAAGACCTTACTCATTGTTATATTACAAAAAGCAGGTAAAAGACCTTACTCATTGTTATGTTACAAAAAGCAGGTAAAAGACCTTACTCATTGTTATGTTACAAAAAGCAGGTAAAAGACCTTACTCATTGTTATATTACAAAAAGCAGGTAAAAGACCTTACTCATTGTTATATTACAAAAAGCAGGTAAAAGACCTTACTCATTGTTATATTACAAAAAGCAGGTAAAAGACCTTACTCATTGTTATGTTACAAAAAGCAGGTAAAAGACCTTACTCATTGTTATGTTACAAAAAGCAGGTAAAAGACCTTACTTATTGTTATGTTACAAAAAGCAGGTAAAAGACCTTACTTATTGTTATGTTACAAAAAGCAGGTAAAAGACCTTACTCATTGTTATGTTACAAAAAGCAGGTAAAAGACCTTACTCATTGTTATGTTACAAAAAGCAGGTAAAAGACCTTACTCATTGTTATGTTACAAAAAGCAGGTAAAAGACCTTACTTATTGTTATGTTACAAAAAGCAGGTAAAAGACCTTACTCATTGTTATGTTACAAAAAGCAGGTAAAAGACCTTACTATTGTTATGTTACAAAAAGCAGGTAAAAGACCTTACTCATTGTTATATTACAAAAAGCAGGTAAAAGACCTTACTTATTGTTATGTTACAAAAAGCAGGTAAAAGACCTTACTTATTGTTATGTTACAAAAAGCAGGTAAAAGACCTTACTTATTGTTATGTTACAAAAAGCAGGTAAAAGACCTTACTTATTGTTATGTTACAAAAAGCAGGTAAAAGACCTTACTTATTGTTATGTTACAAAAAGCAGGTAAAGACCTTACTTATTGTTATGTTACAAAAAGCAGGTAAAAGACCTTACTTATTGTTATATTACAAAAAGCAGGTAAAAGACCTTACTTATTGTTATATTACAAAAAGCAGGTAAAAGACCTTACTCATTGTTATGTTACAAAAAGCAGGTAAAAGACCTTACTTATTGTTATGTTACAAAAAGCAGGTAAAAGACCTTACTTATTGTTATGTTACAAAAAGCAGGTAAAAGACCTTACTCATTGTTATGTTACAAAAAGCAGGTAAGAGACCTTACTTATTGTTATATTACAAAAAGCAGGTAAAAAGACCTTACTTATTGTTATGTTACAAAGAGTTCTGCACACTAAGAAGACCAGCTCCTCCTTTGCATCAAAAGCCAGTTAAGGAGATTTGGGCTCCTGATTAAGATCCTCCTGAAGCCCCGTGTAGACCCAGAGCCTGCTGGGGGGGATTATAAATCCCATCTGGTCTGGTAATACCTCGGCATGGACAATCAGTTATTACAGGAGAACACAGAAGCTCTAGAAACAGCTGAATGTAGTCAGACAGATACAGAGGAATTAAAACTTTATTTTTAGTCATATCGTATCGAAACAATCGGTCCTGGTTCACTCACCGCCTCCTTGATGATCCGGGTGATCACCGCGTTGGGGAGGTTCAGGTCTTCGGGCCTCTCTGCCATGTTTCCCCGCTTACTGGAGCGTCCTCAGCGGGTAAGGGTTACCTCCACAGCCGGGGACGAGCTAGCCGACGATGCTAAGCGATTAGCTCCTGTGTTAGCCTAAGCTCGGGACGTTTTCTGTTTGAAATCCCGCGGGGAGTTTGAGTTTAAAGTTCCGAGTTTGAAGAAGATGTAGTTTTGATCAGATCGATTCGTTTCGCCGGTGGATTAATCGATAATCTGCTCTTGAATTGGTCGCGTGCCCAAGTGGACGGATTTGTTTTGGGACGTTTCCCGCGAACCGTCCAAGCACGAGCCCTCCCACGTCAATTTTCAACTTCGACCTCTGAAGCGGAAGTGACGTACTCGGTCTGGTCTGAACCCGAACCTTACAGACTGATCCATAAGACTGTATTGTCTGTTAATTCTCCTCATTTAACTTTGATTAAAGCCCCACAATTTTATTCTATTTTAACTGTATTTATTTTAAGTGATTATATGTTTATTTATTGTTGTTTTCTGATTATATTTGGTTATATTTTTATTTTGTCGTCTAAATTGCAGTTTATAAAAATGTTTAGAAATGTTATAAAATATTTAAAAATGCAAAATAAACCCGAAAATTAATATTTACAGTCTGAATGTGGCTGAGACTACTTTACAGATAATAACAAATACAGAAAATGATATAAATATGTCTTTAAAAATCCCAAATCCTCACATATTCTTTATTTAAAAGTATTCTTATGATAGTATTTATTTTTAATAAGGAAAAGGTTATTTCAGGTTGAATGTGACTTAGATTATAAACTGTATAAAAGAGCATCATCACTTTCTCACTGTGACGCCGTCTGTTCAGAATTATACAAATATTTATATTGTTTTTTTGTTTTTTTCAGTAGCTCAGTCCGTAGCGACTTGGATTCGGAACCGGAGGGTTGCCGGCTCAAACCCTGTTGAGAACCAAAACATGGAAGATGGTCTGGTAACTGGAGAGGTGCCAGGTCACCTCCAGAGGTGCAAGGCACCGAACCCCCAACAGCTCTGGGACGCTCCCTGAGTAGTTTAGTTTAATTCATGTCCACAAGTCCTGTTTGTGCACAAGTGTGTATTTCAAGCCTATGTGTGTGAGAAGCATGTCTCTTAATAACAGAATGTAAACTGTGTATGTAAAATTAAAAAAAATATTATCATCTTTTATTATCAGACCCACAATAGCGACCCGTCTCCAACACTCAGTGCTCAAGCTCCAGGATCCAACATAAGTGAGGAATGTGATGCAGGCCGCTCTTCTTTCTGCTGCACGGCTGTAAAGTTCTGACAGCTGGATTTGGGTGGTGCAGATGATTTCAGCTGCATGTTTGAGGAGTCATAGCCCATTTGTTTTACCTGTGTCTCATTCCCCACACCTGTGGTCGATTAGCTCCTCTGTGTTTAGTTTCTGTGAACCGTCCGTCTTGTTCATGATGTCATCCTCCCGTGTTTCATGTTTGAAGAGTTTCCCTCGTGGCTTTCAGAGTTCCTTATTGTGAATAACTCTTATCCTTCATCAAATCAAAACTGATGAGTCATCAAAACATTCACCCCCCCCCCCAGTTTAGTTTATTTAAGAAGACACAGAATAAACTTATTTTATCCTTTAATGCTACAGAGATATGTCTGTGTTAACGAGTCTAGCTCACATCGTTGTGATTGATTGTTTACAGCATGCAAAAACGACGATCTGTCCCATCATTTGAACAAACAATGCTCGGACAGACGGAAGATATCGACTACTGGTCACTTTTATATTGTGAAGATTAATATTGAAAAGCCTGAATGGGCAGACTTCCAGCTCAGCTATCACCTTCCTCACAAACAGAGAAGACAGGGAGAGGGTGTGTGGGGTGAAAGGTGTTTAGGTGGTTTCCATAGTAACATACAGTACTTCCTCCCATGCAGGAGGCGATGCAGCCAACATGTTTTAATCCACACTGAAGAGGAGGAATATGTAATGAGAGGCGTGTTCCTACGCCCACCAGGTTCAGGCGTCTGAGGCCGTTTCTGGGCAGCGCTCCAGGATACCAAAGTTTCCTCCGATAAGAAACTGACTTTGAAACAATCACTGCTGCAGAGACGCCATCATGAAGCTTAAACTACACATCTACAGGTGGCTGCAGAGGTCAAAATACTTTCCGGATATCAAGTTAGACAAGCCTTAAAACAATTTTGAATAACAGAGAATACAGAAATGTTTGCTCTCGTCACATAACGCCTCAACAAATTATTTTAAATCATAAATCACCGTCTTCACCCTTTCCCCTGACACCACACTCAAGCTTAAATGATTTATTAGTGAGAGTGAGAACTAATGTTTGTATAACTCCAGAGATGTACAGCTGTGATGAAAATTAACCACAGCTCCTTTTTACTGCCGGACCTCTCCCCATACCTATGACAGATTTAAACTCTGCTTTCTGGTATCAAACCGAGGAGTTTGACTTCTTCTACGTTCAAATGTGATTTAAATTCTATACTCTTTGTTTTATTAAAATTAAGAACTAACCTATTACCCCATGTCCAGTTTGCAACAGCTTGTAGCTCCCTATCAAAAGTACTTGACAGTTCCCGGATTGATACTGCTGTTAATAAAGTGTTGTATCATCTGCGTACCAAACTACTCTATCTGAAATTAGAACAAGAGGAAGGTCATTGGTGGAGATGGAGAAGAACACAGGCAGGACAGGCAGCCCCCCGAGGGCTGACAAACTTAAAACCACAGCAGTGGTTTACAATGTGCAAAGCTTGAATTGACAGTATGGAATCCTCCTTAAGAGGGCCCCGTCTGGCAACACTCACTCTGCTGCATCACATGCATTATTCCTGTGAAAACCTGAGATCGCCAATGAAAGTCACTGAAGGAACATAAAGAATTATTATCATCTGGGAGTGAAAACAGAAAGCAGAACAGAACGGCATGAGGTCAGTCGTCCTTCTCAGTAAGAGGGTCACACCTGAGGAACACACATCTGGAACACACCTGAGAAACACACAGCTGAGGAACACACCTCTGAAACACACATCTGGAACACACCTGAGAAACACACCTCTGGAACACATTAAGAGGAGCACACCTGAGGAACATGTTACCATCTGAAATGTAATAACTGACAGAGCTCAAGGTTTTGAAGACAAAAGTCAAACAGTGTCTGAAACTGAAGTCTGTGGACATCGCGAGTGTTTCATTTTATAATCCTCTTTTTACTGTTTGTGGTTTATTTTAGTTTTTTTGTACATGTATTCAGGTTATAATGTCTGTTTTTGTATAGTTTCACTATTTATGTAGCTATTTCTTTAAATCTCATGCTTCTGTATTAATCCTGGAAGCCGAGTCAGGGACAAGGGTAATACACCTGTATGCATGGCATCTAACACATGAAGCGGAGTTCATTGCATGTGGTAAATTAAAGAATAAACCTCAGGAGGTCACAAATATAACCCTGAATTAGAATAAAAGTGGGCCTATTGAAATGCTCAATATTAAGAAAAGCGCTCTAAACTCTCTGTTCAGCACATCAGTTTCATGCTTTGTATTAATGACACTATGGTAAACTGTATCTGTTAATAAAAAATAAATATTCAAATCCACAAAGACGTGGTTCGCTGGTTCTGTCTTGTTCTCCTGAGGTTCCGTTCGGAGCAGAACCCACCGCTGGATGCTTTAGGAAGAGTAAAGAGGTTTGTTTATGCAGCACTACTTTTGTGTACATCCGACAATTACTGACACACAACGAGAAGACGGTTATGTTTCAAACACTGCGACATGTGGACTACAGCGTTTTTGAAGTTTAAGTTTTTCTCGGGGTGCTGATATGTCTCATTCCGGTCCTTACAGACGAGAACGGCTGCGTATTTATCGGATCTACTTTCCCTTGGATGGCAGTGCTTCGCCCTCCTCCTCCTCCTCCTCCTCCTCTCGCTGTGTGCGCTGTGCGCGGCCGCCATCTTGAATTTTAATGTTAATTTCTAAAAAAAAAAAAAAAAAAAAAAAAAAAAAAAAAGTGTTTCCTGTGATATTTTCGTTCAGGGTGTCGAGGTATCATAATTTTCGGATGAGTTTAAATAAGGACTGGTGTTTTATTTATTCCGTGGCTGTTTTACAGAACATCCCGGTGAGTATTCTCTGTGTTTGTTCCGTTTCCGGTTTTAGAATCGAGACGTTTAAATCGCTCCTAGCGCGTGAGGTAGAATGCTCCCAGCTTAACGTCCACGGTTAGCTAACCGGATAATAAACAACATTATGATAATAAACAACATTATCTCCGGTTAGAAAGTCTACTGACTGACAGAGATCGTATGAAGGGGACCGTCTTCGACTTTTAATGCCGTTACAGTTTATATATTCAGCCTGTAGAGCTAACTAAGGGCTTCCACATCAAACAACCCGAGCTAGCCTCCGTTAGCTCGCGTTAGCCTCAGTTAGCTCGCGTTAGCTCCGGTTGTTTGCAGGCAGGTTAGGTCGCATTAAAGTTTCTTATTTGTACATGTGAGCAGCTGACCGTCGTCTCGTGTGGTGGACACATTGGTTCATACGTGAGTGGATGGTACTGTCCGAACATTACACGAGGAAATGACGCGTTTTAAACGACTGTTGTTGTGTTTGCTGCCCGTCAGGCTAACTTAGCTTAGTTAGCTTAGCTTCAGGCTAACTTAGCTTCAGGCTAACCGGAGCTGAAGTTTGATGCTAGCAGGCGAAATGAGCGAAGAAGAATTACGTTGTTGATGTTGAAGACTGGACATTTAACACGCATCCAGCTCGCTTTGTCACGACATTAAGTAAACAATAAAAGTAGTAACGACTTGGACTACAAACACAGAAGTGATCGGCTGCAGAATTTAGGTAAAACTTTTGCTTTAAATACCCCCAGAAAAAATGATGCAAACTTAAACAAATTGCACAAATACGTTGACAACGCATCAGTGCAATTTAGATGTCTGTTTGTTGTAACTATTGAACATGTGTTTGTGGATTTAGAGAAATAATACAAAGCTAACATAAAGTAGACGTTTTACTAACTTGATGCATTTTCCCAGTTTCTCCTCTTTACTTGATTTAAATCTAAACAAACAAACTCTAGCCTCCTTTAGTTTAAAAACTACACGATTTAAACGTATTTAACCCTTATTGTACATCTGAACCACACAAATGATAAGCTGTTGTATTTGGACATTTTGACTTTTGTCCTCCCTGTTGTTGTTGTTGTTGTTGTTGTGTTTGTGTTATGCATGTTATTTGAGATACTACATTAGGTGTTGATGTTTAAACTGGATTTGTCGTAGGCCTACATGGTTTTGCTCTGTAATTTTGATCTCAAAGATGTATTCTTGTACATATTAGTCGGTGTCCAGGAGTTTGCTTGCAGCAGTTTCTGGTAGATTAATTCATCTTAAACACATTTGTCTTATGATTAAAATGATAAAGCTTCTAAAATCGTCCAGTTATTAGAGATATGATGGTTTTAAACACGTGTTATTGATAAAAGTACCTAAAGTTTAAATGTAGCTTCACATTCACACTGAAGGTGAACACTGGATGTTTTGTATTCTTGTTGAATAGACTGCTGTTATCCTGTGATATTCGGTGTGTTTGTTGTTCGGTTAATCGGTTAATCGATTAATAGGTTGTATTATTGGGGGGGGGGTAGCCGGCGTTTAATGCAGCATCTCTCCGCGTTAGCTTCGTGCTAATGAGCTGCACGGAGCCGGTGTTATGCTAAGAAATGCATCCCTGTCGAGAAGCGCATGCACCTCGCAGGACAATGCAAAATATGGCAGACACCATTTCTACACTGTCGTACTTTGCATCCACCATAAAATACTACACTGACGTATTGCGCATCCACCCTTAAATGTACTCGACAAACACTGAAGAGTCAAACCCTGTTAGCAGCTAATATTTACGCAGGCTAATAAAAATGCGTCTTCTACCGAGTCTACAAAACAATAAAGCCACTTGACGTTTATCAAGTACTAACTTTTCATACTTCGTCATCACATATTTGCCCCCAGAAATCAAGATTTATACCGTTTTCTAACACTTACGCGGGGTGCATGCTTTCCTCGGCAGGGATGCATTTCTCGGCGTAACACCGGCAGTTAGCAAACAATGCGAGCTGTTATTGATAACTCGGGATACTTTCTCGGCCTGAGTTTTCGGTGTGGCCTTCCGGGTTTCCACAGCTTCTCCTCATTCCCGTAGCGTGGCATGGCGTGTTTTAGTTGGGCTAACGTTAGCTTCGGAGCTACAAATGCGAAATGTTTGATGCATCTATTTTAAATGAGGTGATGCTGCTCGCGACGCATGAAAAACTGACGTTTCAGGAAATGATGGAATAAAACATCTGGGTTTTATTAAAGAAATGTGAACATGCTCTGACGTCTTCATGTCATATGTTCTTTATATTTACAATGCTTTTGTTGATGTGTATTAGTGGCCGCAGAGACGCTGCTGAGGCACTTGACAGAGAGCCAGTGCAATATGTGGAGTCACCACTAAGTGGCGTTATAGGACCATTTCACACTCAATGCTCCACTTTATTTATGAAGCACCTTTCATACATTAAAGCGAGCAGAAACTGACAGCAATAGATACATCCTAAAAGAATAAAACAAGAAAGACTGTAATAAAATAATTGAAACATAAAATAGAAGTTAACACAGTAAGAAATGTTACATGAAACAATAAATCAATTTAAAGCAAACCTAATGTATAAACACATTTTAAAAAAGTTGACCAAGGTTATAAAATAAATCCAAATTAAAAGCCAGATAGAAATGGTAGGTTTTTAGTTTATTTTTAAAGGTATAATATGTCGAATTTTATTAGAATTATACCCTAAAAAAAATCTAAACCTAAACAAATCAGAGAGAATCACTACCATGATTCCACGCCAGCCTCGACGCTCTCTTTTGTTATTGTTTTGATTGAGAGCCCCCTGGTGGCCGAATTTACATACTGTGCGTTTATCTTTACTACTCTGATGCTTGTGAACTTGTGGCCTTCATGGGGGTCATTTCAGTCACACGAGACTGTGATTTGATTTATTTTAGGTTGACATTGAGTAGCAGTGTTTGCTCCTTTTTTCCTGCTCTACAACCCCTACTTTTTACCCCGCTGTTATGTTTTTGTTGTGTTCACTTTTATGCCTTGCACAGCTCAAACCAGGAAGTAACTTCTAGCTCTAGTTATGGTGGTTGAAACCCTCCATCATGTAAATCCCAGTGACTCTTCAAGACATGTTGGTGCATCCAGATTCATGTTTAGAGCCGCACACCTCTAATCACAACCTGGAAGTTAATGAGTTTAAAGTGTGAACAGGATAGGGTTGTAGTCAAGACCACACTCATTCTAATCACGGCGATGACGTTAAAATATCCTCTCAGTGGTGGTCTTGACCGGTCGTGATTGAAAATCCAGAGTCCACCCAGTCTTTGTCTTTGAGCTGTCAACAAATCCACCTGCACATTTCCACCTCAGTGTGTCTGTGTTTTAATCGTATCTGTGTGTTTCTGCTCTGCCTCCAGGTTTCAAACTCTACACCCCAGTCTTCCCCACTCAAGAGTGTTTCTTCATCTCGGAGACTAAATGCAACTGGACCAGGGGGCTTGTGGGCATGAAGTGGCTGGGCGAATCCAAGAACATGGTATTAAATGGCAGACGACCCGGCAACAAGTTGACCAGCGAGCAGCCTGTGAGCCAGAGCCAGACCCGCTCTCAGCATCCTCAGCGATCGTCTCTGCGTCACTCTCGAAACCGCAGATGTAGCCGCAGTGAGTCCAACGGGTTTGTGTTATCAAAAGTGAATACTCGTCTTCTGTCAGAAACCAGAACATCAGCATGTATTTGGCTTCTGCAGGGTTCAGTGCAGCCAATCTGGAGGCAGAGAGGCGCTATGTGCCCTCCTCAGGAATGACTGCCAAGGAGCTTTGTGAGAACGATGACCTGACAACCAGTCTCATCCTGGACCCGTACCTCGGCTTTCAGACTCACAAGATGAACACCAGGTGAGCAGGTTCATCTAAGACGAGCTGCTGGCGCCTCTTTGTACTCACTAGAAACCTTCCTAACCATGAGCAGATGATGTGATCTCCTTACTGAAGGTTATGCTTTGTTTGTTGTGTGTGGGCAGATTTCGACCTGTCAAGGGAAGACAAGAGGAGCTGAAGGAGGTGATCGAGCGCTTCAAGAAACACGACAACTTGGACAAAGCTTTCCGAGCTCTGACGTCCGGAGACTGGGCGCGAAATCTTTTTCTCCACAAGACGAAAGCTCAAGAGAAGCTCTTCAAACAGCATGTAAGAAAGATTTAGAAGATCTACACTGATCGTCTCCCACAGCTGAACAAAGAAACGATGACTGACTGTAATTTCTGCACAGGTGTTTGTGTATCTGCGTATGTTTGCCACTGACAGCGGCTTTGAGATTCTCCCGTGTAATCGCTATTCATCGGAGCAAAACGGCGCCAAAATCGTGGCAACCAAAGAATGGTGAGGACACGCCTCCACATTTAAATTCTGATAGGACTGTATGCCATGTATTTAAAATCTTCTACTTGATGTTGTTTCCTAGGAAAAGAAACGATAAGATCGAATACCTGGTGGGCTGCATCGCCGAGCTGTCGGAGAGCGAGGAGAACATGCTGCTGCGGCACGGCGAGAACGACTTCAGCGTCATGTACTCAACACGCAAGAACTGTGCTCAGTTGTGGCTGGGGCCGGCTGCGTTCATCAATCACGGTATCACTCTCTCTGAGTCTGAGATCGTGTTATCTTTTGAAACATCTGAAAATATTTCTTATTCAGTAAAATATGGAGGTGCTAACCTCTCGTCTTTTCTCTTCCTTTTCAGATTGTCGGCCAAACTGCAAGGTGGGCTCCTCTTTAAAAAGATGTCATGGAAAAAGAAACACAACCTGATCAGCTGGTGTCACTTTGAAAACATGCCTTTGTTGTTTTTCTGTGTAGTTTGTGTCGACGGGGCGGGACACAGCCTGCGTCAAGGTCCTGAGGGACATCGAACCCGGAGAGGAAATCTCCTGTTACTACGGCGATGGATTCTTTGGGGAAAATAATGAATTTTGTGAATGCTATACGTGTGAACGGTAAGTTCAGCAACAACAAAAATCCTTTAAGGTGTTCTTTGTTTGAATCCATCAGTTCAGTAAAAATCAACACACGAGTCATACCAGGAAGAGAAGCGTTATTTTCCGCTACAAGGTTGAACCAAATGACGGCAGGCGACCTTTCACTCGTGTTTTATTCCTTTATCTCGTTGTTTTTTCTCGATGTGCAGACGGGGCACTGGGGCTTTCAAATCCAAAGCTGGGCTGCCGGTGGAAGTGCCGGTGATCAACAGCAAGTACGGGTTACGTGAGACAGACAAACGTCTCAACAGGCTGAAGAAGCTCGGCGAGGGAAACCCGAGCTCGGACAGTCACTCTGTCGGCTCCCACACGGACGTAGACTCTCAGGAAATGCCAAAAACACATCAATGTAAGAGTCAGCGTTACTGGCTGAGGCTCAGACCCCAGACTGGAACTGGGAAACACAATAAACCTGATGTGTCTCTGTCCATTTGAATTCTAATGATCATAATCATAATCATCTAATAATCATTTTGTTCTTGTTTCCAGCTGCCAGAAAAAGATCTTCATCCTCCTCGTCCTCTGGCCTGAAGTATAAAAACAGGACTCAATCCAGACAGACTTTGAACAGAGCCCTAACTACCTCATGTTCCAAACAAGGTCGAGTTCACAATAACAGGGTACCAAAGAGACTCAAATCCCAATCCAAGCCTTCACTAAGTAAAGTCCAGTTGCGGAGTCGCAGGCGGGGGGCGGAGCCTAAGGCCTTGGCCAAAGGGGAGACTCTTCAGCTGGGTCTCAGGGACTCAAAGGTGTCGCTGTGTAAAAGTGTCACCGTGAAGAAGGAGAGGGACGGACAGGAGCTGGCGCAGCGGGGCTGCCTCACCCGGCACGCTGCAAAGGAAAACGGAAATCTGTCCCACGTGCAGAGCAGCCACTGCTCCACCTACAGAACTCGCAGGTCCACACGGACCCTCATTAAAGCCCAGGAAACAGCAGGGGGCGTCAAACTGGAGCCCAGTGCCATGGATGGCCTGAGCCCGGTCCCTGGTGGTGTGGTCATAAAAACAGAGCCGGCGGACATGGAGGAATACCTCCACCATGGCGTCACTCTGGAGCAGCCGGCGCTAGACTCTGGCTATGCCCAGAGAGGCTCGTGCAGGCGAAAACGTCTGACACGGCCTGGGGCAGAGAGGACGATTAAATGTGAGGACTCGTACGTCGAGCCTTTCATGCCGATGGCTGCTGGGCACGCTCCAAACTTTTCAGACTGTGGGAATGTTCTGCTAGGCTTTGCCGACAGACACAGGGACTACAACGGGGTCGCCAACGGCAGCAAATCCCTACGCAGGGACAAAGGTAAGAGCAGCTGCAGGTCGCAGGACAAGGGGAAGAAGAAACGTCGCATCACTCGATACGATGCTCAGCTGATCCTGGAGAACAGCACGGGAATCCCCAAACTGACGCTCCGCCGGCGGAGGGACAGCAGCAGCAGCAAGACCAACGACACCAGCGACTCCATCGGCTCCTCTAACCTCTCCGCCTCCGCCGTCAACTCGGCCTCTTCCAGCAAAATCAGCATCAAGTTCAGCAAGGACCACGACAAGGACAAAGGCAGCTCGTACATCGCCAAGCTGAATAACGGCTATAACCCCGGCGTGCACAGCAACTCAACCAAGCTGAAGATCCAGCTGAAGAGAGAGGACGATGCACGCAGGATATCCCAGTCTAACGGGGACATGAGCCAGAGTCTGGAGGCCAGGAATGGGGGACATCGGACCCAAAAGGTCCTGCCGGAGCCCTCGTCTGAGGAGGACGATGATGACGAGGATGAGGATGAGGAAGGAGAGGACGACGACGACGATGATGAGGATGATGATGATGATTACTTCGACAACGAGTTTGACGATGATTTCATTCCGCTCCCGCCGGCGAAGCGGCTCCGACTCATTGTGGGCAAAGACTCGATAGACATCGATATCTCCTCCAGGAGGAGAGAGGATCAGTCACTGCGGCTCAATGCATAAGCTGTGGAGCTCATCACTCCAGCTCCCTGTAAATAATGATGACTCTGATCAACCATGCGTTGATGTAAAACAAGTACAGTAATTTAAAAACACAAAAAAATTGCTGAAAAATAAAAAGGAACCTGAATGAACGTTACTAGAAGGTGCTGTTGACCTGAAACAAATCTCAGTTTTTCACTTCAGGCGAATATTTAATTCAAGTTTATAAAAAAGAGAACGACACTTCGGAGCCAAAGTCCTCCAGTCCACGTCCCTGATGTTTGATCAGCACAATCCACTTCTTATCGCCCAGAGCATGTGGAAAAACGAGCGTTTGTTTCAGGTCCAACGCTCCCTTCAGTGAATGCACTTGTTATATTCATAATGGACATGGATATTGTAGAAAGTGTACAGTATGGTGACTATTCCCTCTGTCTCATAGGCAGGTTTTTATTGAACTGTTGATTTATTTTGTCTCATAGTTTGTAATGTGTGTGTGACAGACCGTGCTGAACTCAGCATGGTGTGTGGTTGGTCCAGAGGCATTATAACAGGATCAGGTGCCATGTTCTCTTTATAACAGCAGCGTCCCTCGCTCATCAACTGTCAAAACAACTTCCTGTGTACGTTCATCACGTGTGTGTCTGTAGAGTTCAATCATGATCAAATCTGTGCCATCATGTTTTTTATGATTTATACGCACCAAAGCCACGGCTCGCTGATGTTGCTTAAAGGAAAGAGACCCGTCGGCTGTCCGCTGGACGTGTCTGCAGCATGTAGAGCAACGGCGTGTGCTTCGTCTGCCTGCCGTGTTCACGCACTCACATCATGACAGATCTTTTATTTTTATTTTTTTTACAGCCAATAAAATCACAGCAGTTCTCTTCACTGCTCTGTAAATAAATCGATGAAACTAAGCTGCAGAATTACACCGATCAAAGCACACAAAGTTTACTGTTCAGTGACATAGAATCAGAAATGGACCAGCGTGTGCGTGTTTGAGGAGCTGCTGTGTAACGGGAACATGGCACATCGAGGGGTGTATCAGGAAGCGAGATGTAGTCGGAGTTTTCAGTGTCACGAAGCTGGCTCTATTTTAATCACCATGGTAACCGACTCCAAACTCAGAGTTAGGGCTTTAAACTGTCGGCCGAAGGTGACCTAGAGGTTGGTGCAGAGAGGCTGGGGTCCTCAGGAGCTGGTGGCCCGGGTTAAAGTCCAGCCTATGGCTCCTTTCCCGCGTGGCGTTCCTCTCTCTCTCTTCTCTCTCTCTCTCTCTCTCTGTCTCTGTCTCTGTCTCTGTCTCTCTATCTCTGTCTCTCTCTCTGTCTCTCTCTCTCTCTCTCTCTCTCTCTCTCTCTCTCTCTCTCTCTCTCTCTCTCTCTCTCTCTCTCTCTACACACGAAGCGGTGCAGATCTACGTTTCAGCAGATCGCCCCCACAGCAAGAGAGCAACGAGGTCATGGCATCTTAAAAAACGCGTGTTTTTATTTCTGTTAATGATCTAAAAAGTATGTTTTAGACGGCATTCACAACGACACACGGATTAGTCTCCAGGGATCAATGAATTAATTTGTCTTTGAATTAGCTGAATCATTAAGTCATTTCTATGAAATTGATGATCGGCACGCTGAGTTTTACAAGAAGCTCGACCGTTTGTTTGATGGCAGAATCAAATAATTAATATTCAAATGACACAAGATCTTAATGCCGTGTTGCTGTCCTTCAGAGCAGCAGCAGAGATGTTTCTGCAGACGAGACATCTTCAGTCTCGCAGAAAGAGATGGTCGGTGACAAAGCGCCGTCAAATAACGCTAAACGCTTCATTTTCTGTGAAGCTGGAGGCAGAAAGAGTTAACAGGGAACCTTCATGAGCAGCTTCCTGATACTCGGTGTCTCAGACGGCAGTTTCAGGATTCACCCCTCTGGACTTTGAACCTTTCTAAACAAACCAATCCCCTCATAAAGGCTTCCTGTTTCAGATATCAAAGTAATGTAATCTCCCTCCACACGACAGCACAGTTATCACCTTCATCTAAAGTATTTGAATCATGTCAAAGTGGGTCGACACTAGAGTGTGAGAAGGAGAATCACAGTGTGAACTATTCTAACTTGTAATCATGTTTTCTTTTCTCTACGGTGCTAATTTAGTTTCCTCACCTCCTGTGTGACCTGAACTTTTCTGTTAGGCAGAGGCAGCGTTCGACCTCTGTTGAATACACGTTCTATCAGCTGTAGCATACAAACCATTTCTCTTTGTTTTTTCTTTACAGGTGCTCACACTCGTTTGTTTGTCATTTCTGTTCATCACGCAGCATTAGGTGCCTTAACGCAGAGCTCTCTGACACATTCAGATCAAACGCCCCCCCCCCCCCCCCCCCCCCCCCAATCACAGACTGCGCCTGGCGTCAGTCCTCCTGTATATTATTTAAGCTTTGATTTATTAAGTCAACCACCTGTTCAAGGGATCAACTGAGACTGAATCTTAACCCACTTCCCCCGTGTTGATACGTACTGTTCATATCACCAGCAGCTAATCGCCGTTCTGCCCCCGGCTCGGTCTGTCCCCTCCCTCGTCGGATGTCTCCATCCTACACTGTAAGCTGTTTCAGGTGTAACGTCTCTGTGCTCTTTGTCCCATAGACAGCTGTCCAGACCCCCCACTGATTCAAAAAGTGAAAAAACAAAATAAAAAATCAAATGTGAATAGTTTGCGGACGTGTTAGCGTGTTGCGTGGGTAGTGGGACACATGTAAAGAGAATTAAAATGGGCGGTGCATATATTGTCCCATATGTAAATCATTTGAACACATCTTGTACTTATTTAACAGTTTTGAATACTTGAAGACTATATAAAGTTTCTTTGTGACTCTTGTTTCCTGAGCCTGTTTTAACCTCCACCCATGTTCACATCATTAATTCATTAATCATTAATCCTCCTTTTTAAAAAGTGTAAGTAAGTCTCGGAGCTCCCCAAAACATGTCTGTGAAGTTTCTTGTTCTAAATCCACTCTGATCCTGTATTTGATCATGTCTATAAACCCCTCTATTTCAGCCCTGCTCAGAACAGGCTGTTTCTGTGTCTGTACCTTTAAATGTAAATGAGCTGTGTTTGACCACGCCCCCTCTCTGGAAGGGCTTTGGGTGTACTTGGGCTTTCTCGCTCCATGTCCTATTGTTTACAGTGAGATGGCAAACTCAGAGGGCAGAACAAACACCTAGCTGTGGGAGTGTCACCCACCTGGGGGAGGGGTTACTGCCCTTTGTGATGTCATGAAGGGAAAATCTCCAAACGGCCTGTTTGAGCACACATTTTCTGAAAAGTGGAGCAGGTAAAAGACGGAGAGGATGGACTTTTCTCATAATTGGGGGGTTTGTAGACGGACTAGGGACACGTATTAGAGTTAGAGAAACATGGTGAATAGTATTTTACAGAATATGTGACCTTTGTTCTTTTGTTTTATGCTGCATTCAGGTGCTCCTGAGATTGTCCAATATTCCTAGGTTGGGAATTTGTTCTTTTGACTTAGGTGTGGGGCTGCACGGTGGTGTAGAGGTTAGTGCTGTCGGCTCACAGCGAGGGGGTTTCCTGGTTTGAATCCCGTCTGACAGGAGCCTCTCTGTGTGGAGTCTGCATGTTCTCCCTGTGCATGTGTGGGTTCTTTCCGGGTTCTCCGTCTTCCTCCCACAGTCCAAAGACATGCTCGTGAGGTTACCTGCTGACTTTAAATTGTCTGTAGGTGTGAATGTGAGTGTGGCTGGTTGTCTGTCTCTGTATGTCAGTCCTGTGAATGGCTGGTAGACAGTCCAGGGTGTAACCCCGCCTCTCGCCCAATGACAGCTGGGATCAGCTCCAGGCCCCCAAACAGACAATGTGGATGCTTTTAAGAAAAGATTATAGTTTGGCAGTAAGTTAATATAAGTATAACATTTTTATTTTTACCTGCTATGTTGATTATGAAACTGACATAAAGTTGGGCACTACATTCTTTCCAGATTTTCTGAGTTGTTGTTACGACTTGAGCAGACGTTCATGCGCATTTCCAACTCTGGAACTAGTTTTTCCGATGTGAAAAACAAACATTCAACACAAACTCATCATTCCGACGGTAAATGCTCGTCTCTTGTTTCAGAAATTAATTTAAAAAAATGGCAGCCTTGTGTTCAAATCAAAAGTCGCTCTGCACATCAAATAAAATGTTCAGAAGCCCCGAGACCTGGGATTAAAAAATAAACATAAAGTCACACGGCTGAAATACTCACATTAATGAGTTAAATGACATTTCCTCTGTGACACAAACGTCAGTCAGGTTTATGTGCGAGAACATTTTAAAGTCCGTTCCCCACAGTGGCAGTCAAAAAAAAAAGCTGGAGGGGTGCCGGCGGTCTGGGGGTCATTTACCCGCCCCATGTTCAGAGGCTCTCGTCCTTTTGGAAGCGGCCGTGGGTTCAATCCTACTCTCTCTCCTCCCAACACTTCCTGTCTCTCTTCAGCTGTCAATAAAGATAAAACGTCTAAAAATCTGTAAATAAATTGTGTAAAACGTTTTTAACAGCAGGTATCAAGGATTAGGGTTAACGTTTACAACTTGGTTATGTTTTAATTAATTAATTAAATTAATGTTCGATCATAAATGTTTGTTTATGAAGGATTTTCCTTTTTAATCTTGGTTTACGGTCAATTTAATTCCATATTTTGTTCAACTTTGGGAACCACTGTGCCGCTAGCGGGGCTTGTTTTCACCCACGTGGGGGCGTGGTCGTTCCGTGAGCAGGAAGTGACGTTGGACTGGCACCTAATTTGTTTTTTTAAATCCCAGGTCGTTAGCCAATCAGAGGCGTCATACCCAGACTGCGTCCAATCAGATTCGAGAGAGCGCTATTTGAAAGCTGCTCGTGTCCGTGTTGTTGCTCTGCAGAGATTCAGCTTCTCGTGGTCTCTTCTCGGTTATTTCCTGCGTGGTGTGGAGATATATTCACGTTTTTGTTTCGTTGTGAGAACTTTTAAAAATGTTTGCAGTTGAAGTCCGTGCGGCGGTGAGTTTTTGTTCATTCATTTCTGTTTTAATTAAAGATAGTTTAGCTGTTAGCTCCACTGCTTCCTGTCAGCCTGCACCTCCACGCCGAAGCTCTTTTTACGTCATTTCTGAGTTTCTATGTTGGTCTGTCCTTCTCTTCCAGCAGCTCTCGGCCGTAGAGAACCCGGTGAAGATGTCCAAAAACCCGGCAGCAGGTGTGAGGAGAGCCGCTCTGGGTGAGATCACCAACGTCCCTGCAGCTGCGGTCAACACGAAGGTACGTCACTGTCTGCAGGTTCACTCCTCACCTGCCTGTGACTGTAGCTCAGGACACGCCTGAACACCTGTCGCCTGACGTGCTCCGCGTACGTGGACACCACTGCACACACACAGGCGAAATAAGCCCATGTTTTGTATTAGTGTGTGCAAAACTGTTTAATATTACTTCACAACCATGAGCACACTGAGAGACATGTCCGGTTATAATGAGACACAGGTGTAAGCAATGAGCTGAGTAATGACGACAGAAGATCTCAGTGACGAAGTGATTCAGGAGAGTTCAGAGTGAGTTGAAATCATTGACGTGGATTTCTTATTGATTTCACGTTTTTTAAAAGACTCCAATGTTTAATTTGAGTTAAAGTCTCCTCCAATAATTTAATTATTATAACATGGTGTCAAAAGTTAACATTTGTCCCTCGTTTGGTCTTTGTTTGAAAAGTATAAAATAAGTATTCGTCAACATAAAAACCACAATACTAGAGAACCGATTTTCATTGTATTACACTACCAGTTCTCTTTCACCAGCAGAGGGCGCTATATGAAGTAAAACAAGCATCATCACTGTGCAGAGTGTCGAGCAGTGATGTACGTACATGCTCAGTTACTCTCCAGCTGAGTGACCATCTTGTCTTCATTAGAAATATTTTCCACACGTTTGATTTGAGGGATCAGCTCTATACATTTATAATTATCTCTACAGATTTCATAACTCTAAATGACATCTGTATTGGATTTTTTTTTTTTTCCCCCTTTATCAGTTTCGTCCCTAAACATCCAGTAGTGGTCAGTCCCTAGTCTTATCTGACTGCACTGATGTTTGAGTAGGAGCAAAGTGGCCATCTTGTTCTTAATGTTTCGCCAGCTGAGAGGCTGCTGATGTTTGGTGCTGTACGGACCCGTAGAGCCAGACCTTGTTCTGTTCTGCCTTTTTTTTTTTTATTTTATTTTTTAGCTATTGATCCTTCCAGATAACTGAATCGTCGGCTGCTGCGTTCTGACCAAACCACCTGACATCCAATCTTACGAAACCACCTCTGAAACGTCATTTCTTCTTCTCCTCAGAAAACAGGACGAGCCAAACCATCATGTGCCCAGAAAGTCAAACCCACATTGGTCCAGGTGGTTCCTCCACTGGTCCAGGTACCGGCTCCTGCAGACCCCCTCCCCTCAGTCTCAGAGGAGTCGGCTGACGTGTCCATGAAGGAGGAGGCGGAGCTGTGTCAGGCGTTCTCTGAGGCGCTGCTCGCCGTGCAGGACGTGGACGAGCTGGACGCAGACCAGCCCCAGCTCTGCTCTGAATACGTTAAAGATATCTACAAGTATCTGCAAGTCCTGGAGGTGATTAACCCCGGATCAGCTGCTCTCTGTCTCACCTGCATCCATTTTTAAATCCCTGCAGGGCGGTGCTCGCCCTCGTTCCTCTCCTACACGCCTGTCTTATGATATTTGTGTTTTTAGAAAGCTGCAGTTCTTTATCAAAGTGTCTTAAACTCGGACCACCTGTCCTCCCCGTGTCCTCAGGTGGAGCAGGCTGTACGGGCGAACTACATGCAGGGTTATGAGATCACTGAACGTATGCGCGCTCTGCTGGTGGACTGGCTGGTCCAGGTTCACTCCAGGTTCCAGCTGCTGCAGGAGACTCTGTACCTCACGGTGGCTGTCCTGGACCGTTTCCTGCAGGTAACACCTGACTGATGATCACTTCTGTGTGTTTTTTTGAATGTGAGCCGTGTAGAAACTCTTGTCCTCCTGTGCTGCAGGTCCAGCCGGTCTCTCGCAGGAAGCTGCAGCTGGCCGGTGTGACCGCCATGCTGGTGGCGTGTAAGTACGAGGAGATGTACGCTCCGGAGGTGGGAGACTTCGCCTACATCACCGACAATGCCTTCACAAGTCTCAGATTCTGGAGATGGAGCAGCTGGTTCTGAGGAGCCTGAACTTTGAGCTCGGTCGTCCTCTTCCTCTGCACTTCCTCAGACGGGCGTCCAAAGTGGGCAGCGTGAGTTTCTGCACAAATCTCGCACAGAAAAACAAACGACCATTGAACTCCTCTTCATCCTGCTTTTTGTTCCTTTGCCAATTACATCCCTGATCACCTATGAAGTCAGGTGATCAACGTCATATTTTGTTTTGATTGAGATCGCCTTGGTGTGTAAATTTTTCCTGAGCATAAACTTATTTCCTAAAAAGCAAAATCATTTTTCGGTCAAACTTTTTATTTTTTTGCTTTGATCCATGTGCTGCATGTCTGTGTCTCAGTCTGATGTAGAGCGCCACACGCTGGCCAAATACCTGATGGAGCTGACCCTCATCGACTACGACATGGTCCACTACAGACCGTCTGAGGTGGCGGCCGCCGCCCTGTGTCTCTCCCAGCTGCTGCTCGACGGCGTGCCCTGGGTGAGTCTGATGGAACTAAACGCTTTAAAGAAACAGTTTTAAGAGTAATCTTTGTTTAAAGTTTGTTTCTGTGTCGTCTCAGTCGGCCACGCAGCAGCATTACTCCACGTATGACGAGGCTCACCTGAAGCCCGTCATGCAGCACATCGCCAAGAACATCGTGACGGTGAACGACGGGAAGACGAAGTTCCAGGTGAGACGGTTTAGACCACAAACACTCAGACGTTATCGTTGAGTCTGGATGTTAAACTCGGCCTGTCTCTTGTTCCCGTGCAGGCGGTGAAGAACAAATACTCGAGCAGCAAACTGATGAAGATCAGCCTCCTCCCTCAGCTCAAGTCGTCCATCGTCACCAACATGGCGGCCGCTGCGCTCAAACCCTGAACTGACCTCTTTAATGAGGACGATTTTTACTCGCACTTTATTCAAGCTCGACCGTCCTGAGGAGAAGCTTCACTACTTTTAATAAAATGTTTTTATCTTCTCTCTGCCGAGCGTTCAGAGATGTTTGCACTTATCGTTCTTTTTAAAAGTCTTTGTGGTACAACTTTTTAATTTTACATCAGGAGCACTTTAAGGTTTCAGCGGGCTGTCACTCTTTCTCGGAGCCGTCGTGCCTCTGGACCGTAACCACGTGTTTCATAACGTGGAGCTTTAGATCTGTTCTACCTCTGTGTGAATCAAAGTGCCTTTTCATGTTGATGCATCATGCTCATAAACTGTAATTTGTCAATAAACAGTTTGACGTCAGTTCGTGTTTCACTGATTCTTTTTGAACATGAGAGAAACCTCAGCGGATCTTTTCTTCAATTTGTGACGATGCTGTCTCTCAATACTTCGTCATCTTCACGCTTGGTATTAAGACAAGACCATAAATATCTCTTAACGATCATCTTATGTTTAGGGGGAGTGTCACTCACTTGGACCGTAACACCAGGAAGGTCAAACTACAAATTCCTTTGAGGAGCTGTTTCCTTCTAATCACAGCGGTGATGTGGACAAACAGATGATCTGTGGCGGTCTAGACCGTTCAGGATTTAAAATCCTGAGATTGAGTAAAAACCCTTTGATTCAAGAGGAGACCTTTAAAAAAAAAAAAAAAAAAGTGGTCTGGAGACTGGGATCTTCTGTAGTTGGCTTCATGTGGTTTGTCTGCTCACATGAAGCAAACATTCACAGCAGAGGATTACATGGATGTTTAAAAACTGCAGAAGAAGACAGGAACTTGACGGATGTGGCTTTGAGATGAGACATCTGCAACTTGGAGCTGAAGTGCTGCTTGTCGACAGGAGAGTTTGACTGTTCAAATAAACCCGATGCTAATTCTGTTAGCCAGTTAATGGCATAACTCACTTGATGTTCTCGACTAACCGGACTCAGATCCACCTGCTGGTCTCACCTGATCCAAATGGATTCAGTTTAACGATCCACCTCAGAATCTTCCTGAGGATTCAGGCTCACAGTTTGCTCTGTCTTTTTCAGGCACAGCCCTCAGGTGCCCTGGACAACCCACCCACAGTGGTTACAGTAAAGGATCTGAGTTTGTCTCCTGACCCTGACGTGACCTCTGACATGAACTCTGACGTCTTTCTGTGGTGAAGAAATAAAGCAAAGAGTGGACTGAGCTGTGACGTAACCGCAGACATAAAGAGATGTGTGTGTGTGTGAGAGAGAGAGAGTGTGAGAGCGCGTCACTCGGCTCTCATTCAACCAGCTGAAGTCACAGAAAGTGCTCGTTCAGTCCCTGGCCTCACTCACGCCTGCAGCGTCACACTCGCTCGCCCCGCTGTGTGAGTGTGCATGATCACGACCGTACCGAGCTGCAGAATCTCTCCATTTACAGACTCACGGTCGTCATACACTGAGCTGACCGTGTGTGTGTGTGTGTGTGGAGGAGCATTGTACTCCTCAGACTGATGCTGACCTCACCCCCCCCCCCCCCCCCCAGCCTGAAGCAGGACAGTCACGTTAAAAATATGAACGCTGTTATCATGGAGCCTCAGAGACTAACGGCTCCAACACTGAACTCTTTATCTCGTCTGTACTTCTGAAGGGTTTCCACGTGCCCAGAGGGAAGTCGTCAAAACACACCGACATGTTCTAAACAACCTCGTTTAGGCGATGAGTGGCGGGAAGATGTTGATATTCTGAGACAGCGAGATAAAACAGTCGTGAAATCGAGAATCTTTTTTTTTTTTAAGATTCATTTTTGGGCTTTTTGGGCCTTTAATGGAGAGATGAGAGAGAGAGGAATGACATGCAGGAAAGGAGCCACAGGTGGGATTTGAACCTGGGCCTGTCCAGACTACAGCCTCCATCAAGGTGAACACAGAAAGACTCAGGAAGAGCTTCTTTCCTCAGGCTGTCTGGACTGTTAACTCCACTCTCCTCAGTTAAAAACATAAACAGAACTAAACAAAACAGAACTGTGATTACATGATGCACACACACCACACATTCCAATCTGCACATTGCACTTTGACACCCTGGACACTTTACACACTGACACTTTACACAGTGACACTTTACACTGTTTACATTACTGACACTTTACACAGTGACACTTTACACTGTTTACATTACTGACACTTTACACTGTTTACATTACTGACACTTTACACACTGACACTTTACACACTGACACTTTACACACTGACACTTTACACTGTTTACATTACTGACACTTTACACACTGACACTTTACACTGACACTTTACACACTGACACTTTACACTGTTTACATTACTGACACTTTACACTGTTTACATTACTGACACTTTACACACTGACACTTTACACTGTTTACATTACTGACACTTTACACAGTGACACTTTACACAGTGACACTTTACACTGTTTACATTACTGACACTTTACACTGTTTACATTACTGACACTTTACACTGTTTACACAGTGACACTTTACACTGTTTACATTACTGACACTTTACACTGTTTACATTACTGACACTTTACACTGTTTACACAGTGACACTTTGCACTGTTTGCATTACTGACACTTTACACTGTTTACATTATTCTATATTTTGTATATTCAAATAATTATTTTTTAAATTTTACATTATATTCTGTTTTACTGTGTATGTGTATTAGTAATTTGAGTGTTATTGCATGGCCTTGCAGAACAGTCTTGAATCCATACATGGGGCGCGCGCACTAACCACTGAGCCACCAGCGCCCCGATTGAGAAATGTTCAAAAGTTAAAACAAACTGTTTGGATGTTTGTTTCCTCTCGTCTTGATCTAAAATGAACTCAGACAAGACAACACGATGAAAGAGTTGAGATGTAGTTAGATTGAAAATTGCAAAAGTTAAATAAAATGTTTGGATGTTTGTCCTCTTTGGGCTTCCGTACAAGGTCCCATTAAACCCTGATGTGTGAGTGAAGCTGTCAGGTGAATGTCTGCACTAAACAATAAAACATCCCTCTCTTGTTTGTGGTGAAGTCACAGTTTTATTGACTTCTTAGTTTCTGCAGCACAGTGCGTTTAATCTGGGGCTGTGCGCGTGCTGTGCGCGTGCTGTGTGGGGATTTAGGAGTTAAATGAGACCATCTGACGGGTTAATACTCATATCTGCCACATGGTGGGACACACGAGTCTGTGTGTGTGTGTGTGTGTGAACTGTTTCTGCTGCTTTGTCTCAGTCGAGCAGGAGGTCAGTCAGTCCGCTCTCCCGCACAGCCCCGCACACACGCAGGACCCGCACAGCTCTCCACGCCACTTCTCCGCAGCTCCGCGCCTGAACAAAAACACTCACGTAAGTTTCCCCTCCTTTACCTGCTTGTTGTGAAACTTTTTAACCCTGGATCTGAGTTTTTCTTCTTCTGGTTCGCTGCTGTCTGAACACGAGGCGCGAGGCTGCTTGGTGATCATCGATCGGTTATTCGATGAATCGGTTTGATCGTGATTAAGACATGTGTGAGGGCAGATTGTCGGGTTGTTGCTGAGAGGAGCTGCGTGATGATGATGTGGCGCCTGTGGATGATTTATGTGTTTAACTGGCAGTCAGACTCCAAAGTGTGTGACCGAGAGCGTGAGAGAGAGAGAGAGACACACACACACACACACACACAGAGAGAGAGAGAGACATTGAACACATTGAACACATTGAACATCAAAACTTTTCATATTTCACCTCTCAGATCCCCTCTCCTCCTGCTGCGGGTCAAATCCTCCGTTTTCTGCAGGAGGTTTGGTGCAAACTGAAACTGAAGGTCCGGAGCTCTGTGGACTTTGGGCCATAATCTGGATCATAAACCAAACACCAGGTTCACTTATTGTCTCAATCTGTTCTTTAAAGTCACATTTGAAACTTCGTCATGCTCATAAAAGTTTCTAAAGGTGAACCTCCAGGTGAGTTTGATTCCCAGGAGGGTGTGAACAGGTTTCTCTGCTTCTTCGTCAGGCTGGGACTAGTTCAACAACCTCCCCCCCCTTTCATTGTTCTGATTGTTTGAGGTCAAACTTTCTCATGTTTATGTCAAAAAAGGGAATCTGAATCTGAATCTGTTTTGAATCTGGACTGCAGTACCTATTTTAAACACTAGGTGGGGTTGGGCACTGGAGGGCCGCCGGTTTCAAGTCCTGGTGTGGACCAACGTCTGGATGTGGGGTCTGGAGTACTGCAGAGGTGTCCTCAAACAGACTCTCTTCCTCAGGTTGGTTTCGCCCGGTCGTCATGACTACGGTCAACTCTGAGGTCGTTTTCATCGGGGTTGGGGGAGAGGAGTAGCAGAGAGGATCACTCCCATGATTCCCCGCCAGCCTCGACGTCATCTTTTGTTATTGTTTACTTTTCCAGAACAATTGAATCCTTTGCACAAACAAAAGCTCAATTTGTACAAACATCTAAGCGGAATGTTCGGAGGTTGGAGCCCGCCGCGCGTGACGAGGACGGCGGTGGTTGTGGGGACGAGGCAGTCCGATGATGATGATGGTGATGATGATGATGGTGGCTGGGCGTCAGGGAGGTCGTCACCCTGCGACACCTGGACTCTCCGCTCAGTCGTCCTTTAGACTCTTGGGCTGTCAGAGGATCTTTATCTGACGCTTCAGGATGACTCTCAGTCCTGATGTAATCAGCGTGCTGATTGGTTTGTTATCAGATCACATGGAGCGGCGTTGATCTTTGGAGGTTAAAGGGTTTCATTCTGTTTTATTGTAAGGATTGATCGCATCAATCATGGAACAGGTGTGTTGGGTCACGGAGATGTTCTCAGTGTTTAGGAGTTTGCTCTCTTTGAAGAGAGGCGGGAAACACTGGGAGGAGAGAGAGTGGGCGAGGACGGGCAGCAAAGGGACGACGTCAGATTCAAACCCACGGCCGCTGCGATGACGACTAAAGGGGAATGAGGGGGGTAAGAAGTTCCTGAGTAAAGGAGGCCTCCAGTAGACGGAGCTCCCCCAACCTACAGCGAGGTGATCGGGCACTACTACCACCCGACATCCAGCCTCCACCATCACGCTGTGTCATCGACACAGCTCGACTGCTTTCTTGTTTTTAATTCACACACCATAAAACTCCATAACAGGCGCCCAGCCCAATTTAAGACCCTTCAACGAGCCTGGTGATGATTCAGATTTATACAAAGGAAGGCCGCTCTCCATAAGCTGCTCCTCTCGTTTAGTGTTGAAGAGTTTGAAAATCAAAAATGAGGACGCCACATCAAAGGAGTGATTTCTAAGAATGTGCGACACACATAAATAAATCATAAATCAAGTCTGTC